TATATATATATATATATATATATATATATATATATATATATATATATATATATATATATATATATATATATATATATATATATATATATATATATATATATATATATATATATATATATATATATATATATATATATATATATATATATATATATATATATATATATATATATATATATATATATATATATATATAAAAAAAAAAAAATTTATATATATGTAATATGAATACTATTATATATATATATATATATAAAAAATTATTAATTTATTATTAATTTAAGCAAGGATATAATAAGGCTATAATAATCTAAAAAAAAGAATATATATATATACTAACCTTTGCTGATATCATTTGCAATAATCTTGCACGTCCCATTCATTAATTTTGCAGCTATTGCCGTAGCGCCACATCCTGCACCTAGATCCAACATTCTTGCATCTTTTTTCGCATCTTGCATCATGCGCTCTGAAATTTCTTTTTTTTCATCCAGAATGAATCTCGTCAGCACTTGGCCTCCAGGCCAGTATATAGACCAAAATGGGTCTTGGAATATATTTCTAGTGAAGAAATCAAATCTTCCATTTGTGTATTTATCAACGAATGGCTCATGATATAAAGGACAGTTCTCTGTTAGAAGAAATAACTTCAATTCCGGAGTCAAATGATCGCGAGTCATCTCAGTGTTTTTTAAGATCGCATTCACCACATCGTGATGATTTTCGATAAATTTTTTGAGCGATGTTCTGTGGCTATTACGCAAAAGATCGTCCCATATCTCCTTTGTGTTTCTTGAAAATTTTCGTATAAGAAGCTTCATGAAATATATGTTCCTTCCGATAATCATCGCTATCTTCAAAACCTGGAAAGAGTTTCTAATTATAGACTGTTTATGTAATTATAGCACGTATGACTTTCAGGAAAGTCCAAAAATATATTTATCTGAATCAAGGTAGAATCTTACAAAAGGGTCAAAGAGGGAGGGATATAATTATTGATAACTTTATTTTTCGATAAAGACACCGATAAATGATTATTTTCTAAGAAATATATCGCAGTAATGATGAAATTATGTTTTATACTTTATGCGATAAGATTATCGTTGATTAAGTCGCATCTAACTTTCGAAGATATTAAATACAGAAAAAATATTTTGTTTGTTATTTATTTAAAAAAATTCTACGTCTTAATTTCTAAGAATATTATAAATGTTATGAAGGATTAAAAGCATTGTGAGATCAAAACAATAAAAACATCTAAATATTTTGTATTAAACATGGAATATCTTCTCATTACATTCTAATAAATATGTCAGTTTTGTCGACATTGCAGTTATTCCACAAGGAAATTTGCATTTACGCAAGTTGCATTCGTAACTCACGAAAACAATGGGGAAAAACAGTTGCAGGTGATAGCAGAAATGTGCCTATAATTATGAAATAGTTCCAGTTACATATCTTATTTCAACATAACCAAAAGACAATCGGTATCCGAGAGACTTTGGGGACTTTCCCTCAGTTTTTCAATCAAAATATATATTTCCTTTATCATTGACAGATATCAAAAAAAGAAACACCTGCGAGGTTTTTGAACTGACAAATCTACTTTTATCCTACTTTTATCTTTCAGTAAAAAAAAGGATGAATTTTTAAAAATTCACCCTGTTACGATTTATAACTTTTAAAAAAGTTTGATTACTTAATGACAGAGTTTTCGATCAGGTAATATTCTTAGAATTTAAATTTTTTGAATAACTTTTTATTTCTTTCTATATTTATACACATTTTAATTACCCTTTAATCTTTCTCTTAGGAATATGAAAAGTAAAAATATGTTTTTATGATATGAAGATTCAAAAGCACTTTTGTTTTAAAATTAGTTTTAGATTAATTTTAATGTATTTTATTTTATATAACACATTTCTTCGACATAGCATAGTTGATTTGTTTTTAAAGCTTAATTCGTTTTTAATTCACTTGATACAACTTTTTTATATTAATTACGGAATTCTCTTAACTGATGTAATATTTTATGATATAATCTAGTTATGTCACTGAAATAAACGTTTCTGTTGCGCAATACGCATTATGCATTTTCTCTCTCTTTTAAATGATACTGTTGACAGATTCAATTATATTCGTTAATACAAAGAGGATGACCGATGTAATATTGTTACGTAGATAAAGATTTCTGTCAATTTTATATGGCTAAAACAGAGATTATTATTATTATTTTATTATATTCTTTTATTTACGATATTAATTTTTTTTGTAATATTTTTTTGTTTTTTCTTTTGAATATTTTAATAACCAACGTTTTTAAAATTATATTAATTATTTATTACTATTATTATATTATTAAAGAGAAATCCTCTTTGTAAAATATTGAAAAATAAATGTACAAAATTGTTTAATTGTTTAAACTGTTATTCAGAAATATCGATTTATTTTATTTTAGATTACATTATGCGTGTATATAATTTTTTTATTACATATAGGTGATAATAGGATTTTACGTCATAAAATTAATAACATCGTATGGCGCATTTATCAGGAAGTTTCTCGCTCGATTTCCCTAGGTAGATTTTGTTAATCTTTCGCTTCTGTTATCGCAGAAATTAAACGGCTGATGAAACAGGACGCGTAACAGAATACCCGTGACTTGCATCATCTTCACATAAGGTGTGTGTATATATATGTGTGTGTGTGTG